TAAATCAGAAAGCAGGTCTAATTAAGCAAATTTATTCTACATATATAAAAGGCTAAGTTGACTTGAGCATGCACAATACATACAAAGCTCTTGCTGGTGCCAATTACACACACATGTTTCGATCTGTCATTGTCGATTGTGAATTTGGTTGACACTTCTATTATAGAGTAAGGGCGAACAGCAATATTAAAATATTTCTTCTAATTAATTTCCTTTCAATGTGTATGAATTCATGCACCGGGCCACTAATATACTATAAGTCTCTGAAGTTTCAAAGTCTAGATGCAACTATTCACTAACTATGGGCAACTTATTTAACTTTTTTGAACTTTTATTTCTTTATATGTAAAATAAGGATAATGTCTATCCTGTAGGATTTTTGTGAAGAGAGAACACTAAATGTAATAAACCTAAAACAACATTTTACATTGGGTAGGTCCTTTTTCCTTACAAAAAGCTATGATGGAATCTGGTTCTTTAGTTTCTCATTAATTTTTACTATGCTAGTGATTTTTCTCTTAGACCTTGTTAATTACAATTCCTACAGCTTCCCTTCAATCATCAACCAACTAAACTTATTCCATTCATCTGTAAATATTTCCTGAATACTTACTATCTTTTAAATCTTTACCCGATCTCTAAAAATAATGCAACTGTTAAAAACATATCAATTTTATACACTTAATTATTGTCTGTATTCGTAGATAGAAAAATGTTACAAAACAATGAATCTATGGAAGATGTGGTGTATATATCTCATATTTACAGCACCCTAATCAGAATCATCAATCATATAGCAGAACTTCATGAGTATGAAGAAGATAAACTGTCTACTCAGAAACTGTATCACCACAGCAACATGTATATTCTATAACAATATTTTTCAGCTTACTTGACTAAGAAGAAGAGGATCTGAAATTATAGTAAAAGTGAAACAATGAAAGGGTTGGGAAGAAAAAGAGGAAGCAAAACACAATTACAAAATTAACTATCATAAGGATTCTACTAATACTTAAAAATACCACACTGCTTTATACAGTATGACTTTAACGTATTAACAAAATAATTTCTCAATTGTAACGGCAAAAGAAGTTAAAAGAGATTCAAAAGCTTGGGGGGAAAAATGAAAAGAAAATGTGTACATACAGAGTGTACACTGATATCACTGTTCATCTACCATAGATGTATACTCTGTGGATTTTTTACCGTTAGAGTGAAATTATGAAAACACTTAGTCCTGACAAGTTTTTACCCCACAAAACCAAATATATATATGTGTGTGTGTGTATGTATGTGTGTATATATGTATATATATATGTGTGTGTATATATATATATATATATATATATGATAATGAAATACAATTTCAATTTTATTCAACAGTGAAAAACAATATTTCTGCTTGGAACATACCTAGCTTGGCTCTCTTCTATACAATAGGAAAAGGAATAAAAGGGTAGCTTATACCTCTTTGAAATTCCTTTTCTGAAATCATTGTCTTATTGCTGAATGTTAGAACTTTCTGTGGGATATAACATATTTTTAAGTAACTATATGCAGTGCATTATGATATCATCTGTCCTTGGAGAGTTAAAAGGTAAAAATCAACACACAAGGGAGTCTAAGATATATAAGATATGCAGAGTTATCTTATGGATCAAGTAACATAGTAAGACTTGGAAGTAGGAGCATAATCCTATATAATAAAAGCCCAGCAACCATAATGGCAGAATGACCAGAACGACCGCTCGACCAGTCACTATGAGGTGCACTGACAACCTCTCAGTTCCTTTCCCCGACCAGCAGGCTCCAATCGCTGATGGCAAATGGGGAATTGGGGTGGGTGGCGGCAGGGGGGGCGGGACTGGCGAGCGGGCGGGACGGCCAACCTCTTGGTCCCTCCTCCTGGCCCGGAGGCTCCAATAGCCGATGGCGAACAGGGAACCGGGATGGGTGGTGGCGAGATGGCTCTGATCGCAGGCTAGGCCTAGGGACCACAATTGCGCACGATTTCGTACGCCCGGCCTCTAGTACAATAATAATAATTGAAGTAATTAAAGAGTCTCTCAATCCAAATGGAGGGTTGGTGATTAGGAACAGAACAAAGAAGAAGCAAGCAAGCAATATGGCCATGCCTACTTAAATATCCATCTCCATAAAATGGATAACCTAACTTAATGCTGCTAACCATTTAGAATCATAATAATACCCCTTGGAGGATAATAAAAATATGAGGCTGAGATGTAAGAAATCAAGTCTGAATTCGAGGCCAGGAGATAAATACAAATCACAGGGCCTGAAAAAATGGTGAGAAGATTGGAGGTGCTTAGAATGCTGGGGTGGGAAACAGGATTGAAGTCACAATTATTAATAGGCATAACATAAGCTTCTCTTCTCTATCCCTGTGAGCCAAGTAAAACAGGATGTAAGGCATGTTACAAAAGTTCCATTATAGCTTATTATTCTCCCAGCTTCTACTTCTCACCTGCTCCCTCAACTATTCCCATCATTGCCGCCAACAACTGCTATGGTAGAGGAGGAATAGAGGAAGAGGGAAAACAGTAACAGACAATAGTAATACACAACACATATAAACAATAGTAATGTAGGGAAAGGGGAGAAATGAGGAGAGAGAAAATTGCACAGTTCCCTCTTACCTGTTTAATTTAAAATGCAATTTGTACAATAGTATAGATAGACACACACACACTCTCTCTCTCTCTCTCCACATATATGTGTATATTTTGAAAATCATAAATAGTGCTCTCAGGGGAAAAAATGAGGAAACAGTTAAAAAGGAAAAGCAAGAACCATATTTCATTGCTTCAGAGACATATTTTTTCACTTAAAAAAAAATCCTCACCTAAGGATATGTTTTCATTGATTTGAGAGAGAGAAAGAGAGAGAGAGAGAACATGAGGGGGGGGTTCCCCTCAGCCCAGCCTGCACCCTCTCCAATCTGGGACCCCTTGGGGGATTACCGGGCTGGCAGGGGAGGGCAGTTGGGGGTGACTGGGCCAGCAGGGGAGGGTAGTTGGGGGCGATTGGGCTGGCAGGGGAGTGGTTAGGGAGTGATCAAGCTGGTAGGCAGAAGCAGTTAGGGGCAATCAGGCAGGCAGGCGAGTGGTTGGGAGCCAGCAGTCCCGGATTGTGAGTGCGATGTCCAACTGTTGGTTTAGGCCCAATCCCACAGGAGCCCTCGCAGCCCCAGCTTCATCTGGAAGGTCATCAGGATGGTCGTTCTACTGTTCAGTCTAATTAGCATATTAGCTCTTTATTATATAGGATACTAGAGGCCCAGTGTATGACATTCGTGCATTGGGGGTCCCTCAGCCCAGCCTACACCCTCTCGAAGTCCGGGAGCCCTCGAGGGATGTCCGACTGATGGCTTAGGCCCGCTCCTGCCAGCTCAGGGCTTCTGGCTGAGTGGCGCACCCCCTGTGGGAGTGCACTGACCACCAGGGGGCAGCTCCTGCATTGAGTGTCTGCCCCCTGGTGGTCAGTGTGCATCATAGCAACTGGTCATTCTGCCGGTCGGTCGATTTGCAATATTACCCTTTTATCATATAGCATTATTTTTTATAAAATTAGTGTTTTCAGTTTCAACTTGGGATAGCCTCTCCTGCTCTATTTCTAGCATCAGAAACAAATAAATATTCCCCTTCATTCCTCTACCTGCTGATCAGTAAAACTACAAACATTACCAATTCCAGCACCTCTGGTGTTTTTTTGTTTGTTTTTTTGGGTTTTGTTTGTTTGTTTGTTTGTTTTTGGCTTCTGTGTCTTGACAGGAGGAGTAGAGGGCCAGGATGCAGGCTTTGGAATTGATGCTTAGTGGAGATAAAAGCGGAGGTGGAAGATAGGGAGATAGAAGAGGAATTGAAGAACTCTAGTGGGATGGGAATGAGAATTGGAATCAGGATATTTGGGCTCAAACTGCAACTATGCTCTTTACTAGCTGTATGACCTTCGGAAGGTTATTTAACTTCTCTGTGGTTCAGTTTCTTCATGTGAAATATCAGACATAGAAATAGAATAGAAATAATAAATTCTACATTGGGATTAAATAGGACAGCATAACTAAATGATGTTCAAATCATTAGGTGAAATTAGGAACACAGTTACTCCAACGTATTTATCTATAGTATACATTACTTACACAATTCTTCTTTTTATATAGGTATTCTGAAGCAAAGAAAAGGGTATCGTCTTGGAAATAATATAGATCTGTATTTAAATCCTAACTCTGCCACTTAGACGCTATATGACACGGGTCATTCTTACAATAAAGTTTCTATACCAACCTTTTCTATCTTTCAGAGAGCGGTAGGTCGGCAAGAGATGGTTAACCTGAGTCTCAGGGAGATACTCATTTGCAACTAAAGAAAAACTCCAGGCGATTACCTCACATTCTTATTTTACTTTAAAAACTCTTAAAACGTGATTTATTCTCTGACACCCTCAAAATTACTCTCCACAAAGTAAAACTCTTGGAAATCTAACAACGTGAAGTGTTTGCTCTGGTGAGAAGGAACTGAAACATTTTCCTTCGAAGGCGGGAAACGTCAAGTGTGAAGTCTAATTTCTAAAGAGCGAGAAGAAAGGCTTTCAAAATTTGCAGAGGTAGTTTGGCGGAAAGAAACCCCCTTGCCACTGGAGATGGCAAACCCCTGGCCCTGGGTGAAGGCGGAAGAGTCCCGCACACTTGCCCGGGCAAGCGGCAAAATGCTCCCCGGCTTTCGGGAAGCCGCCATGGAAGGCAGGCCCGGCATCCTCAGCGGAGAGTTCTCTCTCGTCCGCCCCCCGAGCCCGGCGGATTCGTCATAAACACGCTCGGCAGAGAGAGAAGCGCGGCGGAGGGAACCGGCCACGCAATTATCCCACGAAGCCCATCCAGGGCCTGACCGTCCCCAGGACAACAAGCCTGACCGACGCGAAACACTCACCAGTGGACTCAGGATCGCGACTACAACTCCCAGGAGGCCACGCGGCTGTCGGAGCTGGTCTTTCCCAGAATGCAGTACAGCGGCGTCCCCATCCCTCCCCCTTCCTCCGCTCCGCCTCCTTCTCCCCCTGGCGTCACGCGGGAGGGCCGGAGGTAGGGTGCTGGAGGGACCCCAAGCCCACGACGTGCAGCGTCAGACGTTGGGAGGGGGCAGGGGCGGGGAGCTGGGGGAGAATGGGAGGACGAAGAGGAGGGAAGAGGGAGGGGAGGGTAAATAGTGGGCCAGGCAGGAAGATGGCGGCGGGAGCGGAGGTGTGAGTGGACCCGGGTGTATACAGCTGGATTTTCTCTTCCCTCTTCCTCCCCTTTTTCTTCTCCTTTTGAGATTGGCATCGACGGGGCCGAGTCCGGGTGGCGGCGCCGGTCGCAGCG